AATTGTTTTCCCAATTTTTAAAACTTCCCTATCTAGAAATGTTGGTTCTTAACACACAAAAAAGCTCAACTTTGCTCCTTTTTGCATATATAACTGAACCTTCATCATCGAAAATATTGTGACTCAAGGACATCTCTTCCATGCATGCCAGAACTATCTAAAAATAAAATATAATTGTTACAGCAACAAAAAAAACTTAAACTAAAGGATGTATTGTTACTTTACAAGCCTAAATATTTTATCAATCTTTAGGACATGAAGTATAAAGAAATGGTTTACAATTCAAATTTAAAATAAATCACTGGGAGATCTATGCATTCACTCTATAGCTATCATTGAATACTTTTTTGATTGAGATTATTATAAAAAGTAACAAAATAATTATTCTAATGATTTTTTTAAGAACTACATGATATTTCCGACAAATAAACAGTTTAAATTGATTAATTCATATTAGCAACAGTTGTGCCAGTACAGTTTTTTCTGTGTAACGGTTTTGTCAGAAAGAAAAAGCAGTCAGTTTTAAAAAGGGTCAATTTATAATCATTTCACGCTTACTCAGTACCATGATATGATTCAAATCAAAGCAGTCAGTTAAATGGGTCAAAATCATTCACGCTTACTCAGTACCATGATATGATTTAAATCAATCAATAGCAATGGCCAGCCGTATGGGCCCATATTACTAGCAAAAAGTTCTAGCCATAAGTCAGTCACGTATGACTAGCCTAAATGCACTGTTGAATCTTAAGTCTTACAGCATTTTTAAAAATAAATAAACAATTATTATAATGAATATTTGCAAGCTTGTTTTTCTAAACAAAAATATTATTGAATATCATAACTTTATTAGGTAAATAAATTTTTGGGGCGTTTGATGAGCCAAAGTTGTTTTTGTTTTTTACCCTGAAATCACAAATTTTTAATGATTAAAGTCTGTGCGAAAATACGAAGGAAAAAAACGGAAACATTATTATTAAATCATTTCTATAGATAATATGTCTTTATGGTGTTGCAGCGCAGCTGTTTGTTTTTTTTTTACAGTAAATCAGAAAAGGCAGACATCTGAAATCAAATTCCAACAACTGAGAATGGAATTTACCTAACACATTTTATAGAAATTTCAATTCAATTTAACATTCATGGTACATAGCATGGCCTAGTTACCAAAAGACACCCCAAGAGTACCCCCAATACACCCCTGGACTACCCCAAGACACTTTAACTGACATGTTTAATACTGTCTTAATTTTACAGGTTACTGTTGCGATTGCATATGTACACATTGAATTATCTCCCTTCTGACAGGGGATTTTCATTAAGTTTTCAAAATTTGGAAGTTAAGAGACTGCAAAATCTCTGATATTGGAAGTTACATTATATTGGTAAAGAAGAAAAAGTAATAGGTTTTGGAAGTCACAATCCAAAATCAAGGAGTAAATGACTCCCAAAACTTCCCTTAACGAAACCCTGTTCAGGAGAAAAGGAATATAACATGTACGTGCCAACAAAAAATTTACCTAAATGGCACTGATTATAAACTAGAACTCGGAGGTCGGATGTGTTGCCTTGTGAACAATATAGCTGTCACTTAGGCATTTTCTTCTGCAAAAACTGCTCCTACATTATGGACATGCATGTACCTTTAACTTTGGTGACATTTGAACTGATTGTAACAATGTTACATCAGGGTTAATAAAACTGTTATATTATGAAAAATAAGAATACCATGCAAAATTTTTAAATTGACAGATCAAATGGAGTACTCTGTGATGGATTCTTAACAATAAAAAAAAGCTAACATACCAAATTTAGAGTCAATCAAAATTAAAGTGACTAAGTTATGCACTGGAATTTTAGCCTATAAAGTAAGAAAATTAACAAAAAGTAATAATTCAAAAATTATGAAGTGCAGAGTACAAGTTCTTGTGCACTGCACTTCTTCTCAATGAGATCTATCATCCTATGAAGTTTCAAGTCCATAGCTTTTATAATTTATGAGAAATGGCCCGGAAAAAAATAAAGTATGAAAATTAATAAAGGGTAATAACTAAGAAATCATGAAGTACAGAGTACCTGTTTTGTGCAGTGCACTTCATCTCAATGATACCTATCATCCTATGAAGTTTCATATCCATAATTTTTATAGTTAAGGAGAAATGCCTCGGACAAAAATAAAAATATGAAAAGTTAACAAAGGGCAATAACTCAAAAAATAAGAAATGCAGAGTTTTCGGGGTTTTTTTGCCCGATTCCGGGCATTATAAAAAGCATGATTTCCCAATTTTTTAGTCCTGACTGACTTATGTCTGGGGCAAACTTAAAGGGAACGCGGGGTCCCTGCCCACAATAAGGTAAACCTTTTTTATTTCGCCTTTTTTAAGTTTCACAAAAACTGTTAAATTTTTTTAAATAAAAATTTTCAAGCTCCAAAGAAAAAATCTTATCCGAAATGTTGCCAAATTTTTTTTAATGAGTTATTTGTAAGATATTTTAAAAAATGTTTTTTCTCAAAAAATGTTTAAAACAATGAAAAAAGCCAAAGGGGGGGTTTTGAATTCTTTTTTATGCCCCTTTCCCCCTTTTTAAGTGAAAATTTTTATTTCCTGAATTTTTAAACGATATTTTTTTTCCCTTGTAAAATTAAATTTTTATTTCAAACTGCCTCACATCATTTGATTAACATAGTCTTATTGTGTCAGTAAAGATGATTTATATCAAACTATTTTTTTTCCTATAAAGACTTAATCAATAAGTATTTTAATGATGAAAAAAGTCCATGCATAATTGATAATATTTGATGTATATAATTGCATTTTTAGGGGAAAATATACTTATTTTGGGCTAGGAGATACAGCCTTTATTCCGCTGTAAAATATATTGACCTATTCGAAAACCTAGCAGCTACGGTAAACACCATTTTCCGGTAGGTTACCGATTTAGCTTTTGGGAATTACACCAAATGAAACTACATAACATAATTACTAGATCTACATGATATTTCTAGTTTTCTATCATTATTTTACTGTTTAAAGGTAAAAAAAATTGATGTGTTTGAAAATTATCAATAATCCTGTAATGTAACTATTGCAATTTTATCAAAAAATAAATTGTTTATAATGAAATTCAATAAAATTAAAGCAGTCGTAGTGGCATCTCCCATTATAGAGATATTTTCTGTGTAAACTTGTGTATTTACTTTAAGACCTGAAAGATCTATCCGATATCTTGTCATAATATAAATGAACGAATATCATCCGTAAAATTATTTAGAAAAAAATATATATATTAATTTTCATTCTTTGTGAAAATGTCAATTAAGATATCTAAGTTTTATCATTGCATCTTTTTGTTAGGCCTATTTGAAAAATGCTGTACTTAAAGACATACATGTGAACTCTCCCACTTTAAGCGGGAGACTCCCACTTTCTGCTGCCTTACTTTCAAAGATTTTTCTTAAAATAAGGGGTATTTTCACAAATTAAGAAATCTCCCTCTTTTTTTTTATTTGTTTGGGTCGTCAGACCAAACAAATAATGGTAGCGAAATTTCAGAGCCTAATGTTGTTAATTGCAAAGGTTTGGACTTTACACCTCCTGGATGTGTAAAGTCCTGAAATCATTGCAAATGCCTAAAGTAGTCCACTTTTTTAAGCGGTTACTTCCCTTTATATGTACACTAACGCCGAAAAATTCAGGGGAGATCAATGCATAAAGATTGTCAAATGACACAGACAGGCGCATTAATTTTCAAGCAAAGTAGTTCCCGAATGGTCGAAGATTTCTAATATTGTTTCATTCTTTATAGATATACATGCTTACAGTAAGCTCCATGATTATTTACATCGGTGTTAAACAACAGGTTTTAGCGTCGAAATAATAAGAACTACAAACCCTTATTTAGAATAATATGGTTTTCTTCAGGCCGTTAAAATATAACTTCACCGTGGCCGAGGAGTTTGCACGCTCGCTTATGAATCGAGAGGTCTGGAGTTCAAATCCCAGTTGAGGCAACTCATTTTTTTTTTAATTGTTTAAGTCAAATAAACATTGAATTGACTATCAGTGTTGCAATTAGTCATATAGCCAATATTTACTACAGTTAAAACACTGGAAAGCATTGGTGGCACTGTACAAAAGCAAATTGGCTTATAATCTCACAACCTTCACCTTTCTGACATTCTGAGACCCAAACAAATCCAGCGCCTTCAGTGCTTTGATTAATATAATGTCAGAACTTTCTTCTTTGTTTATAGAAAAATCTAAAATCTCCCTTTTTTTGAAGAAAAATCTACTGTATAATTAAATTGGCACTAATAAGTCTCTTTATTTTTCTTATTACCTCAAGGTTTAAATTCTATTATTTTTAATGTCTTATCCTGTATCCTATATCTGTTTCAATTCTTTAACCTCAAAGCTAGCTTAAGGTCTTCAGCGTACCCGTTTATATATATGACATGACGTGAACTTTAATGCCGCATCTGATGAAAAACAAAAATGTTAAAAAGCGGCTTATAAAGTTTTGGAAGCCAGAACTACCTCAAAGCCTTTTCCTTACTTTTCGCAGATCTTATATTACATAAAAACGTGGTACATCCAACAAATTTTGCAAAAAGCTTCCACTTACCTTTATTGCAGTCTACTGTATACTGAACTGAGTTCAACTGTACTGTAGATCTACTGTTGTTGTTAATTTTGTTTCTATCTTCAAAGACCTAACATTCCATTTTGCCATGACCACAACATTGCGGCGAATTTTATACACATCGTCCATTTTTTATAACACGAAGCCTAATTATACAAATGATAACACGCTGATGCTGGTGGTCGATAAGTCCATTCATTTTGAAGGGTGTGTTTATCTAAAATTGCGTGTTTGCATGTAGTTTCATATTTAAATCTCTATCTGTATTTTCTACTGTATCTTTTACAATTTTCGAATTTCAATATTTCAATATCAGACTTAAATCAGTTAACCAGCACATGGAAGCGCGCTATGAAATACGCCCCTTGTATTTTAAATCCACTCGTCCGTGTAATTAGCATCTTCGTGTGTCGCAATCGTTAATCGGGTGACTCTACATGACACTTATGATGTTGATGTGTAGGTACCTGCTCCTGTTTATTGGAATATTGGTAAGTTCATAATTCTTAAATACGATGGTGATTAATTTTTTAATTTAGTTTAGAGTTAGATATTTCTTGTTACATTTATTAAAATATAAGAAGATTTGGTGTTCAAACATACTGGACTATTTTGCATATTTTATACGGAATGTGAACATTTAGAAATTTTTCAATTATAATTTTAAACTTCCCGTTTTGGCGATTTTTGAAATTTTTCATTATTTTGTGCAAAACCCAAATTTGAATTAAATGAGTTTTATTTCCAAAAACCCCTTAAACATAATCCCCCTTTGGGTTTAAAAAAAATAGTGATCGAAATCCCCCCAACAGAAATGCCGGGTGTTCAAATCCCCCTTTAAAGGATTGTCAAAAAACCCCCTTTGGGAAAAATGAGGGGGAGGGGGAAAATCCCTTTAAATTTTGAAAAACAACCCCCTTTACTCAAAATTCTTTTTCCTTTGATCTTTTGTCACTCCAGCTAAACTATTGTGTTACACCTAGAAATAGAACATAAGTTAGCATGCTGAAATTAATATTTACCTATTATAATTCAGATTTATGCATACTTTTATTATGATGTGCTTTATGTCTCCATTAATATTTTCATGTAATCTCTTTTGCTTTACTTAAAAAGAGTGCTATACAAAGGTTAAAAAAAATAATAAGACGAAAAAAAATTTTCTTTGTGTAGGCATAACCTTCATACAGAAGCTTACGAGAACCTTTGTTACTTGTAATGAATTCCATTTTGGGTATTCATGTCTATTGCAGAGAGCCATCATATTATATACCCAACAAAATAACAGTTTGCAGTTAAGTAAAACAAAGATGAAGTAATTTTAGATAGCAAACTGCAATTAATAGCCTCATTTTAAGTTATTATCTGGAAAGATCTAAAGCTAGTGTGCAACAAATTTGCCTTTAAAGGTGTTTATCATTGCAAAGATTAATTGATTGTTTGTTACATATAACTATAATTGCAATGATTAATTATAATCAACTATCATTTATTTGTTTGTATTTTACAATTTTCTCAGCAATAATAACATCAATAAAGGGTGTCATTATTAACTGGCTGTGACAAACATACACCTTTTAATTGTTTGTATGCTTTTCTCTTTTTTTTCAGCAATTCTTGAAGCAGTTGGTTCTTAAATTCATTGAACTAAAAAGAAAAATAAGAAAATAAATTTCCCAACCATTTCACATTATTTGAGGGATTTTTGACTACCCACTGAGGGGATTATGACCACCCCTTTATTTTTGCCAAGGGGATTATGATAACCCTGTCATTTCTGTTGAGGGGATTTCGATCACTATGTCGTTTATCAACCAAGGGGATTATGATCAAGGGGATTTTGAGCGTCTCCCGAATTAAATGGTTGTGGAAGTATAAATAATAGATCTATCCACAAATGTTATAAAAATAAAATTTTAGACCTGAGTTGCTACTGTATGGGTTAGTCCAACTAATTAGACTTGTCAAAGAGACACCGAGATAATTTTGGACGGGCGCTGTCTTTTTCCTTTTGACAGTAAGAAAAAAAATTCTGTAAAATGGGTCAAACCGTTCACGCCGAATTAATTAGGCTACTGTATGGGTGTGAAGTGTGTATAGTATTTAACCTGTCTAATTATCTAGGCCAAGATTTATAGCCCCTACCCTACAGTATAGTATGTGGGTTATAATCTTTTTTCTTCTTTTGTTGTTTAAATTTCTAAAAAAAAAGTTGATGAAAAATATAAATACAGAGTTGGAAATGAAATAGCTGAACCCCCTGACTATTGAATGTAACATTTTCTCAGCTTTTAGATACAGAAAAAAAAGAGTAATATCAAATATAATTAAATTTATTATATTCTGAGATAGAAATATTGATGAAGTAAAATTTCAGTAAAAGGCGTGTCATTTTTTTCAATATTTAAAAAACATTTACAGCTATTAAGTAGCAATCTTTAAGATCGTTTAGAAAATTAAAAAAAGTAATAAAGGAATTCATCTGACTCAACAAATGGATTTTGTTACAGAAATTATATATAGTAATACTGGTCAGGGACCATCAACCGGACACTTTTTTGAACATTTTTCTATACAAATTTCGTAATTTTAAAGCTAAAGGTACGAAAATTTGACACAGTACTGAGTGAGCTAGGTTCTTCTCCTAACTAACAAACTAGTTTGTTTAGTTCTGATTATGTTGACACTTATATCCGAGGCCCGTCAAGGAGGGTATCAAAATTACCTAAATTGTACATACTACAGTACCATGTGTCCGGACAGATATGTAATAATGTTGATTTAATTCAGATAAAAGCTTTGGTGTTCTTTTTTTAATTTTTAACATGACACACAATATTTCAGCAGCAAATGCTGAAGTTTTGGATATTCTATTGTTTACTTTGCAAATAATTATTGCTGTTATATGAGGTCAGGCATTGCTTTCTTGACCCCCAAATTTCAATGTCAACATTCTTGAAATAGACATTAAAATATTACCATTTACGGAGGTTGAAATAAATTTATTTACCTAATTATAGAAGAAACATACATTTATTGTTGATAAAAAAGTGACTGACAACCACTGAACAAAGAAAATTCTAAATCAAGCATTTTCGGGGCCGTCCGGGTTTGGTGGTTGTCCGGTTTTGGTGGTCCCCAACCAGTAGTGATTAGGAAATCAGCTTTGGACACTGTCAATTAGTAAGATTATCAAACAATACCCCCTGTGGCCCCATTATAAAACAGTGTGATATATACATGTATATCTTAAACTTAAGATCCTTATCAAAAAAGTAATTGGATATAATTATGCATACCCTTAAAGGGGTGTTTAAAGGGACTCCACTGAGGTTTTTTACATGATGGGACTGAAAATATTTTTCCAGATAAATGTACCATTTGATGTAGGTTTAGTCACCATGCACTAATCTTTGTGCAAAATTTTAGGTCATTTGCGCACCTCGTTTTTCCAGAATATATTTTGAAATTGTAAAAAAAGGACTCAAAATGATGCACGTTTAAATGCTTTTCACTAAAATCTAAGAAAAGCATAAAAATACTATTTTTAATTTATTTCAAATTATATTTCTTAACTATCTTTGCACATATTTCTGTTTAAAGTGCCCCAACTCATTCATGTAAGAAATTCAAATGTTATGTTTGTAGGCTATTAAACCCCAGTGAAGTCCCTTTAAGCAAACACAAATAGTGCCACTATGAATGGGATATTTGCAGGAAATAGGAGGTGGAGGGCAGGGGGACTAGATAATTTTTAGCTTAAGGGTTTTTACCCTGGAATGTATCAACAATTTTAGGGGAAAATGCAATAACTTAAAGGGGCATTACAAGGTGATTAATGAGTCAGTCAGTGTTAAATGAATCTTTTAGAAATTTATGAGATTTCATAAGAAACTAAGCTCTTATATAATATTGATAATTTACAAAACTTACCTGAACACAAAATGCTCAGAGGCAGGTTTTTGTGATGGCAATAGTCCATCATTACAAAATTCATTTTACTCTTTACTTCATAGAAATGTGATTTGCGATATTTATACATGTATTCATTCTCAGTTACTGTAACATAAAGGTGTGACGTAAGCGAGCAATGGCGGTGAGGTCTCGATAAACACCCGCTAAAGAAAAAACTGGATTTAAAACATTTCCAATGACATTCAGACCTGGATTTATGTTACAATAGTTATTGAAATGTTGTTAGAGTTGGGTATCATACATGGGTCGTGGAAAAAAGCACAGGGATAGACAAAAACGCAAGAAAAGCAGTGACTCTGATAGTGATAACAGGTCAACAAAATTGTTCAAATATGGCGGACTATTGACAAGCGAAGTTCTCGGCGCAGCAAATAGTGTTTTATATGACAGTTGTATTGAAAGTAATTTGGAATACAGTGAGTGTGAGGATACAGTGTTCGATTCTATGGAAACCAGAAGACAAACTCCTAGCAGCAAATCATCGAAGGGCGCCGACGGTATAAATATGGCGGGAGCCAATACTTCGACCCCAGGTAGCATTTCTCAACAATCTATCATGACAGAAAAAGAACAATTAGCATTTTTAGTTAATACTGTGACTAAGATAAAAGAGGGCCAGGACTCTATGATGGCTTTATTTGAAACTAAATTGGACAATTTGAAAATAGAGCTGACCTCAACTATCAACTCCAAAATGCAAACATTAAAACGAGAGCTGACTGAAAACATCGCTCAAGAAACTCGCCGCGTAGATGGTGTATTGACAACAATTCAGCACATGCAATCTAGATTAGATACCCTTGAGCAACAAGGATCAAATTTATTGAACAGTGGCGGATTATCTGACCAACCCACCGTTAATCATGGTAATCCTTTGCATGACCCAAATCGCACTCTCACGGCCAGTGGTATTCAGGTCACGGTCAATGAAAACTTAATTCAGAAAGCTCAAGAACTAGTAAATTCGCTGGGAGAAGAGGTTAAGTCCCAAGTCACCGTTACCGACGCCATCCGTCTGCCGGCAAAATTTCATGACAAACCGCCAATTTTGAAATTCAGCGTGGGTTCATTGGAACAAAAGGTACTGTTCCTAAGACATAAACCACAATTAAGATTCATAACACAGTATAAAAATGTACAGGTTCGCAGCAGCAAATCGAGAATTGAGCGAATCATAGAGTTGAACGCACGTGCAGTCCTGCGAAATTTACCGGAAGGACGTTCGTTGCGCATAGACGCTAGCGGTCGCATAAAACAGCGTGTTCAACAACAGGCAACCCCGACTCAACAAGACTCGCAGGAACCATCACAGTTCAACAGAGGCCAGGCACCGGAAGCTGGTCACTAGGATGCACCCCGACCCAAGTCTATAAGTCTTGCCCATCTCAATGTGTGTGGCTGGACTACTGACAATAATGAATTGCGGATTAATTTAGTGAATGGTTTGAATAGCAATATAATTTCATTATGTGAAACGCATCTAGGTGGAAATGATGTATTACTCGTGCCAGGTTAC